CGCCACAGGCAAAGATCAGATCGGTCCCAAGAATCCGGATGAATTCCAGCTCTTCGTGAAGGCTGTCCGTTTCTTCCTTGATTGTCTGCAGGGACGAGTGGGGGAGGGGTTTATTTGCACCAAACTTCATTTGGGCTACAGAATTATTATTATTTATTTATTTATTTATTTAATTTATACCCCGCCTATCTGGTCAGTGTGCACCCCTGAGCTGTCCTGACTCTTAAATTGTGTTGGTAACCAGAGATTGATTTTTAAAGTGGCTGAAGCATTAAAAAAGCAACACACACAAACACACACACACACACACTTAGGCTATAAGGATATTTGAAATATTTATCCAAACTGCCAGCTAAGGCAGACGCCCTGCAGAAGACCAAAAGGTGTAAACCTATCCTGCAGTTTCTGTTTGAGGGAGCTGCCCTTTGAGTATTGGTTTGTTTTAAATCTCCTCTCTGCACCGGGCAGAAGAAGAGCCTCTTATGCATAGGTCCACCATCGGAAGGAAATAACATTCATCTCCAAATTTGGTAGCAGAGAAATCACAAAGTTAAAAGGCTACCAAGTTTCTCTTGCATGAAGGGCCAGCCTATGCTTAAATATCCCTCCCTCTGGAATTTTAGAGAATCCTTTAAACTCATTCCTTTTGCCTGGAGCCGGAAGGGCCTTCCTTCACCATCCTTACCTCGGCGGCCTCCACCTGCTGTTTGATGATGGACGGGTCGATGCCGGGACTCTCCAGATCATGGACAATGTCCTGCGTATCCCGGATGGTGGTCAGGAGGGCCGCCATGTCGTACCAGAACTTCTCCGCCAGCTCTAAAACATCAAGGAACTTGATCTCGCGCTCCTCTGCCCGGGCTCTGATGTCTTCCCAGAAGAACACCATCTTATCTAATTTATCCTGGATCTCTGAAACGGTGAAAGGAGAACAATTTTTTAAAAAAAACACATAATCTACGCCATGGAAGAGGATCTTCCACCATCAGGAAAGGAGGGCTCAGAACGCAAGCGGACACCGAGGAAGATGCAGGGGAGACCCGCACGCTCGCCGGAGCGCTGCCGCCGTACCTTTGGCAGCCAGATCCTTGTCAGCTCCTTGGGAGCGTCCGATCAGCTCCTCCCCGCGGCGCTTGAGCGCTTCGAAGGAGGGCTGCAGCTTCTCCAGCTCCATGGAGGCGTTCTTGTTGTCGCCGATGCACTCCCGAATCTTCTCCACCTCGGCAGGGATCAAGGGGGGCGTGCGCAAGCGGGAGGAGAGGGTCTCCAGCGTCTCCAGCATCGGCTCGATCTTGTCGTGGAACTACAGGGGAGGACGGAGGGGTCAGCGAGGGCAATGGGGAGGGGGAGACCCCCCCATGCTGGCATGCCCCCCCCCAGGATGCCGGACAGGCTCCCTGGTCTCACAGGTGGTGTCAGAACAAGCCCTGCTTTGGGGGGGGGTCCTTCTAGACCCAAGACCTATGCCCCCTTCTCTTCTGCAGGAAGAGGGGCTTCAGGCTTTCACTCCTCAGAGGTCTTTGTGGTTTCAGGGCCACTCTGAGGCCACCAGGATGGCTGGGAGCTGGCACGCCATCTGCTTGGGCCAAAGAAACACCCATAGGGGGATTTCTGTTACCTGTGAGCAAATGGGGGCTTCCTTGATCAGCCTTAATTAAAGCCGCTAATAACAGAATCCAAACTTACACCCAGGAAAAAAAAGGGGGGGAATACGTTCTCCTCTTGGTGCCACAGGGAGGAAGCGCTGGTTGAAAGAGGCCTGAGCGCCGGGGTGAATTCAGATCTGTGACTCGGTGGCCCTGAGGTGGACTGTCTGGCCTTCCTGACCCCCCACCCCCATTGCCAGCCGCCCCCCACCCCACCCCCAGGCCCTTCTTCCTGCTCTTGGCAATGGGGGGAATAAAACGGGCCTCCTTCACAGAAAGGGTTGTTGTCAGGATTACTAAATGAATATCTGCAGGGTGCTTTGAGCCTCCAAGAGGAGCGCTCATCCTCATCCTCATCAGGTGCGTGAAATGGCGATGTGCAAAAAGACAAGGATGGCCACCGGCCAGAGAAACCAAATCAAAAGTGAGAACTGAAGTGAAGCGCAAGGCAAGCTCACGGATCCGAAGCCGTGGCACGAGGCGACGGGGGCGCCTCCGAGGGGGGCGGGGATGGCCACGCTCCTCCAATGGGAAACCCATCTTACTCTTCAGAAAGAGGCCGTTTGGAATGGGTCCACGTCCATAAAGGCCCGTGCGCATGGCACCAAGCCGCCCCCCCCTCTGCGGGGGACACGTATACCTGGCCCTCTTGCACAATAAGTATTGTGAGCCTTTAAGGTGTCGTGCGACGCTCTGCTGCTTTGCTGCTGCAGATCAGCCCAGCCATCCCGGTGACTACTGTGTGGAAGGAGCCCATTTGCCAAAAGCAAAGAGAAAAGATAAGCGGGACAGGGTGGGGAGCCGTCCCTGGCTGGCGAAGCGATGCTGGCGGCGCAATGGAAGGAGGTGTTCATGGGATGGAGGAGGGAGGGGGGAGTCTTACCTCCGCAATCTGTCATGGTGGGGTGTGCGGTCAACACAACAATGAAATGCGAAGAAGAGCACGCAGGGAAGACGGTAACGGGCACCGAAACAGACAACACAGGGCACAATCCACAATGGGGGGGGGGATGAGACGGGAAGGTGGAGGAAAAACCCAGTTAATATGAGTATAAACCAAGGGGAGGGGAGTCAGTGACGCAACGAGATCAACATTTCAGATCGTGAACAGAAGGGACACTAAACACGACCCCTCAGCTAATATAACAATATTAACTACGGTTAGCATTTAGACAACTACAAGGGTCTCTGGAGGTTGAAATGAGATGTGCGAGGGGGGGGGATTCCTTGGTTTAAACATGAGTCAGAGAGGGGAAAAAACACAGACTGCCTGGGGGGGGGAACACACACACACACACACACCCTTGCTATGGCTGTTCAAATTTCTGTCCAATTCATTCCTCCTTGCACAGATCTTAGGGGGCCCACCCGATCCAGTTCCACCCCATCTCCCGAGCAAGCAAAGGACATTGCAGGGCTCTGTAACCTAACTCGTGAGTAAGCAGGTATGAGCCTAATGCTCTCGCCACCACTGACTCCTGCACCTTTCCCTGAAAGGGGGGGGGGCAGTGAATTCATAACCTATTTTCCCTCCAGCCCGCCCAGATTTCCCCAGTGTCCTCCCAGGAGCTTAAGGGGAAATGGGGGTTTCCCCAAGAAAAACACGAGGGTCCCCTCTCCCCGGAAGGGGGAATGGAGGCCGATCAGCTGTGCAAAACAGCCGTTCCTGGGAGAAAGGGGGGAACCGCTGGAACAGGGTCAGCCCCTCTTTTTGGATCCTCCTTTGGGGCACAGCCGGAGAAACGACCCCAGGTATCCAGACTCTGAAGTTTACCCTGGCGTGACCACGAGGGCTAAGAGCCGAAGAGCCTCCCAGGGGCCCAAGGCCCCCTCCTTTCGGGGTGTGGGTGGAGGCCCTTTAGTTTAGCCGGTGCAGAAGGGACGCGCGACCCTCCCTCGCCTCGTGCTGTGACCTCCACCCCTTCCCATCTCAACAAGTCGCTGCCCCTCATCGTTTTAAAGACATCCAAAAGTGTGAAGTCCTGTGCTCTGGGCCGGCTTCCAACCTACGATGATGGCCCAACTTCCTCCTTGAGAGACGCTGAGGCTGCTCAAGGAGTGCTTTACTGCGGCTACTTCCCGCTGGGTCTCCACGGTCAAGCAGGGGCTTGAACCCAGTCCTCCCGAATCCCAGACTCCCACTCGAACCACAACACCGCACGGGCTCCCCGCTTCTTCCACCAGACCAGGCAAGCAACCTGTCAAGCTGGATCTGATAAGCGCACTTTCCCTCCTGAACACCCCACCAGCCCGGCCTCCCTTTTCATCTGCAAAGGAGTCCCAGATCCCCCCACACACACACGTGGGTCCCTCGACCGCCCTGCCCCTCCCTCCCCCCGAGAGCTGCCCTGACCTCTGCTTAAGAGGCAGACCCAACCAAGCCCCCAAAGCACAGACCTGGGTGGATTGCGAGACAGCCTCGTCCAGGCCCAGGGCTCGCTGGCGGACCTCCTCCTTGATGCGCAGGTAGGCGGCTTCGGCGGCCACGTACTTCTCCTCCACCATCTCTCCTTCCTCCGGGTTTAGCTCCTTCAGCTGCGGACCGATCTTCAGCAGCTTGTCGATGTGAGGTTTGTGCTCCGCAATCGACTCCCGCAGTTGCTGCAGGGAACGGTTCCAAGAAACAAGATCGGTTCCCCCCGGTCCGTCTGCCTTGCAATCCCGAGGTCACAGCAGGAAAGACCAAATCCTGCTCTTGAAACCCACAGGCTTCCGGGCTCCGAAAACCGGAACATTGTCAGGTCAATGCTCTGGAGGTGGAACTCTGGCGCTACTTCAGAAAAAGCTAAATGACCTCAAAAAGGAAGCACAGGACCAGCCAGTGGAGCGTGGCCCAGATCCACCCACTAGAATGCCACGATTCAGCCAGAAGGCAAACTTGAGCCATCCGTGGTATTCCTCCAAGCAGCGACAGGAGGGCAGTGCACTGATGGGGCCCCATCCAGCCTGGTGAGCTTCAGCACTCAAAGCCGTCCCCGGCCACCTTCTCTCACCCTGAACCACCTGCTTCGGTTCCTCTGTGCAGCTCTTTCCCCTCGTCAGGCTCCCCTCTTGCAAACTGGCCCCGCAAGCACCTGTCGGTTTGCACGCCGTGCCCTTTCCCCATCACGGACTATGCGCTGCAGCCCTCCCTCCCCGAGAGATGCTCACAGGATCTTGGGTTACTCCACCTCCTTTCACAACAAAGCCCGAGAGACCTGCATTTCCTTTCCGTCACTGGAATAGGATAGAGCGAGACCGTGCATGCACGCGCATGCACACACACACACACACACCGCCTGCGCCTGGTTTCCACCAGCCTCTTACTCTCATGTCTTCCTGCTGTTGCTTGAGGTGCTCGTGGTCGATCGCCGGAGGCGGCAGCTGCGCGATCAGCGCCTGAGTCTCGTCCAGCCAGGGGCTGAGCTCCTCGTAGGTCTCCCAGAATTGGTTGACCAAGACCTGGGCCCGCTCCAGGCGCACATAGCGCTCCGAGTTGAGGTGGCTGACGTCGTCGTACTGCCGGAGAAGGGACTCCGTCTTCTCCTGCGGGACGAGAGGAGAAAAGCCAGGTTAGAAAGAGCTGGCGGGAAGGCATGGCTAAGATCCCTCTGTGTTTTTCTGCACGCAGAATGCAATGGGTGAGCTGGCCTGGGTAGCTCAGGGGTGAAGGTCTCTGGCTGTGGAGCCCGAGGCTGGGAGTTCGATTCCCCCACTGGGGATCTCCTGGGAGAAAAGTCAGCCCGTACGGCCTTGGGCAAGCTGCACACACAGTCCCAGAGCACCCCCAGAAGAAGTGGATGGAACACCACGTCTGAGGACTCTCTACCTAGAAAACCCTGGAAAGGGTCACCTTAAGTCCAAATCCACGGCCCCCTATTATCATTATTAGGATGATGAACGCCATGGCTATAAATCTCGGTGGTGAACCACAACAAGTTGAGAAGTTAGTGAAGGCATCTGCAGTTCTCTGCTGAGTCACACAACTTGTCAATGAGTTTTATATATTTGTTTTATTTATTTCTATCCCCCCTTTCTCCCCAGAAGGACCCAAGCAGCCGATGTAACACGTCGGATTTCTGCAAACGGTACCGTAATGCTCAGGAGAGGACCGGCTGCTCCTTTGCCTTAAGCGCCAACACGCACGCGGGTTGGTGTCTGGCTCTCCAGCCTCCATTGAGGGGCAGGACCGAGCCTCCACCGATTCACCCAGGCCTGCCCCCGGGCCATCCGGACCACCCCGAACCTGACCCTCCTCCCAGTTGTCCAGGAGGTGCCGACTTACCTGCAACATGGCTTTCTGCTCCTCTCCACATGTCCCGAAGATCTCACTGCGCTGGTTGAGCAGCTCGTCCATGGAATCCTTGTGGCGAATGATATCGATCGAGAAAGCCTGCGAGGTCGAGCGTAGTGGGAAGGAAAGCAGCATTGTTTTTATTCATTATTTTTTTAAAAAAGGAGAAAAATGTGAAAACAAGGGAGAGGATGGAAGCTGCTCCCCATCTTCGATGCAACAGCACTTTTGCACTAGAGTATCACCTCCCCTCCCCCCTGCAATAAAGTCACATCTGTGAGCATTTTCCAAGGCCACTAAGGCTCATCCTTTTACCCTTTGTTACCACTGAAATATAAAACCGCCCCCTTTCCTCAAAATAACATCCGAAGGAATGAATAACACAAACCATCGCAAGCAGCGTATTTTCCTCATCCTGCCCCCTTGCCAAAAAAGGGGTGCTCTCGTTCAACTCCTTTACCCAAAGGGCTTCATTTTCAACCTTCCCAATTAATTTGGGCAGCAACGAAGGAAATTGCTTAAATTCATGTGAGGCCAGCCTGCTTTTTTCTTTCCAGCTCAACACTGAGAATAAAACCTCTGCTTTCTTTCCACTGGGACTCCTTTAACTGTTGCGTGAGCCAGGCATCTATAAATCTCAATTAGCTCCCGCTGCTCTGCTCTCTTCTCCTCTGGAGACATCCCGCTGACCCATTAATCTCCCATCTACATGGCAAATTTCTGAGTCATACCCTTCAGCGTAGCCACCTATGTCTACTGCCCATCAAAAACGTATACCCTCCTTCTACCTGCGCCGAACACACGTTTCGTTTTTGTGGCTGGGCGGGGGGATGAACTGAGCCAGGCACCCCCACTCGGCATCTCCCTCGAAGACTTCAGCCCATGAACGCACCTTCGCTCCCCACGTACCTTTTGCACCTGCAGCTGGGCCGTGGTCTGGTCCTGCTCCAGGCGAATGGGGCCCAGCGCCATCAGCTTTCGCTTTGTCTCGGCCACCCAAGCAAGTTCTGCATCAGCCGCCTGCTCGTACTAAGATCAGGATCAGGAGAGGAGGGTACGATTCAGTCAGTAAAATGTAAGGAAGAAAATCCAGTATTTGCCCCAACAATTAAGTGGCTGCTCTCTCCCCCTCCCCAACACACACACATGCGCACACACAGACACACACACACACACACACACAGACGCATCTTACCTGCTGGGACCTCTGTATGGCAGCATCAATCTCCTCCACTCTTTGCTTGATGGTCTCACTGATCACCTTGTACCGCTCGTTGGTGTCCGAGACAAGCTTATCCAGCCCCTCGCGGGCGCGCCACGGCACCAGTTCCAGGAGGGCTCGGCTCACTTCATTCACGGTGTCCAGAATAAGTCGGCGTTCCATCACTTCCTTCTTTAGTTCCTGAGATGGAAAGAAACAAACAAGCAAATAAGCAAAAAACAAAGCCTTCTGCTCATCCTTAGAATTATACTGGGGAGGGGGGGGGACAGACATTTTGGCTTCAAGGAGTGGTCACAAGCAGACCCGGAGACCCTTTAAAAAGTGTTAAGGCTTCCTTTAGCGAGAGGTCAAAAACTGCATTTTGAAACGGCTACTGTTGACAGCGTCAGAGCAAAACAACCTTCTGCATTTAGTATATGAAAAACACAGCTTGCATTTGCTGTGACAAGAAAGAGCTTTTCCCAGTCGGCATCTGGACCTCCATCTGTGTCTTGACGAGAGAAGACAACTGCATGACCGTTGGCAGGAGAAGGTGGAGGCACCTAACCAACCTGCAGGCCACGGACCATAGCGTGAAGCCTCCTCACACAAAGCACGTGGCTTGTACCCGTTTCATGGCATCGTAAACTCTCTTTTGCCAACCTCTGCTCTTACGAACGGCAATGCCTTGGTGGACAAGACAGCTCAAAGATCCTTCTAGACTAGCCTTCTGCCGGCCTAGGGGCCAACCTGATGCCTCTGTGATGAAGCCCCTCAGCTGGACCCGGGTGCAACTGCGGCCTCCGACTGGCCCACTCCTGCAAGCAATATCCAGAGGAATCACTCCAGCTTGCAACCGCATTCGCTTGCGGACGACCTTCCTTACCTTTTGCCTCTGCTGGAACTGCGGGATCTGCTCCCGAACTGGAGAGGACCCTCCACCAGACACCAGCTCTTCTTCCACTTGAGTCATCCAGCCCGTCAGCTCCTCATGGGTCGACTGGAATTTGGTGGCCAGCTGGCGGGCCTGCTCCAGCGTGCGGAGAGCCTTTAAGCTGGTGGCCGTGATGTCCGAGTAACGGGTCTTGATGCCATCCAGCTTCTCCTGAATAAGCAGCACTTCCTCCCCTGCAGGGAAACGCCACCGGTTCAGCTCAAGCAAGTCCTTCCATCTGTTGGCAAGCTCTTCCAAGTTTCTCTCGGATCTGATCCTTTTTCATGTCCCTCCTTTCAAATCCCATCCAGCCTGCCCTTATTTATCTAAAGTCCCTTCCTCCACCTGGGAATGGGTGCACGGGTGCAAAGCTGCAGCACCGTGCGAGCAAAGGGGTTCTCAACGCATGAGGGTCACTGGCCATCCACATCTGGGGAGGCACATGGGGGGGCCACATTCTGCCAGGCAGCTGCAAAAGGCAGGGAAGGCGGCGCAGGGGCTGGCATCTGTCCCAGTCTTACCTGTGGTTTGTTTCAGCAGGGCCTGGCCGTTCTTGATGGCCTGGTCTACGGTCTTCTTGCGGTTCACAATCTCATCGTTCAAGGCCTGGACAGAAAGAAACGCTCCAGCTAAGTTCCCGTGGAGGATTTCCCTCTGAAGCCAGAAGGCACCGGCCAGAAGGCCAACACCATGCTGCCTTCAGCTTGTTTTCCCACATTTTAGTTTTGCTGCTGGAAAGGCCACACACCCCACACCTGAGCCAGGTATCACAAATGCCCAAAGAGAGCAGTCTCCATGAGAAAGCATTTCTAGCTCATCGGCTTTCATATGACTTTCTAATCTAGTGGGACAATTAAATGCAACTTCTTCTTTAGTGGACACAAAGCCTCCGTTGTCACATACAGCCCTTTAATCTTGCAACTCTAACCAAAACAGAAGAGGTACAGAAGAGCCCCCTGCTTTCAAAGACAATGGCATCGACATCCAGGCCAGACCTTTCTTTGGACATAAGGGACTTCCGCCCCCCGCCCCCTTCTTCTTCACCAGTTTCCCCTGGATTTTATAGCATTTAAGCCTGAGGAATCGCTCTGGAGAACCGGAAAGTCGGCTCTTTGTAAATCTTTGCTGATCTACTAAAGAAATGCTCCCAACCTCTGGTTCAAATGTCCAGTGTTGACCATCCACTCCTCCGGCCAAAGCAGACCAACTCTGCAAAGACCGGCCGACCTCCCAGGGCTGCTGTGAGGACTTTGGAGCCTCTCAGAAGGACTTTTGCTGCTCTTAAGATTTGGTCGAAGTGAAAACCCAAATGAAATGACTCAAAGAAAGAGAAACACAGGAAAGCAGAGAGTGACAAAAGGCGGAGGAGGGCGGGGGTCAATACCAGCTGGTCCGCGTGCTGCCTCTGCAGGATGTCCCGCTTGAAGTCCTTGACGGACACGGAGCTGAGCTTGTCCTCCACCTCGGCCAGCCAGTTCAGCACCTCCACCTCGTCCTCTCCAAAGAGCCGGGCATTGGACAAAGCCTGGTCCAGGAGGGCAGCCTTCCGGCCACACCGGTCACACACCTCGGTGTACCGGGACTTGAGGAGGTCAAGCTTCTCGGCCAGGGAGACCTGCTCCGCAAGACAGGTCAGGGTGGCCAGAGTCTGCCCAATGTGGAGCGCCTGGGTCATGGCTCCGGCCTGACTCTGTATCTCCTCCTGGAGAGCCTGGCCGTTTGGGGGTGGTTGTCAACAAAACAAAACGAGAGAGAAACAAACAAGCAAACAGAAAGAGATGATTGAGTATGGAATCAACACAAATCAAATAAGGCTGAAAAAGAAACAAAACGAAATGCAAATCAAGACTGAATTATGAATAGGGGTGACGATCATGCAAACTCAAATCACACAATCCACCCGCATGTGGGCAAGAACACTTCTCAAATAAATGGTTTTAGGAAGTGGTGGTGGAAGGAAGGAGAGAATGTTTCGTTTTGCCCCCTCTTGGATACCAAGTAAGCTCACAAGGAATTAGAACAGAGGCCTGGTCTTCTCATCGCCAAGATGGAAGTTACGGTTCTGGCCATTCCACAGAGCCAGGATGTTGCTAATCCAGAAAGCCATCACTGTCACCATCCAATCATCAGATGAGCAGACGGGACATTACTGAGCATAAAACCCTTTTAAAAGTTGCATGCCTGCAAAACCAGGCCTTCTCCAACTGGGTAATCTCCAGATGCAGATGACAACTCCCATCATTCCCAGACAGCTTGGCCCAATCGGCTGGGGAAGGCTGCCTTACACCACGTAAGAATCCCCCCTTTGAGTAGACCCACACAGTGTTCCAGTAAATGCAGGATTCTTGGGTTTAGTCATTTTGGTCAATGGGCAAGCGGTGAGTCACCTGAATTCAACCTCAACAATCAAGAACAAGGCATGCGTGTGTGGATTCCAACCAGCCCAGCTTGGCTTCAACGCATTCTTCCACAATGACTCTCCACCGCCTGTCGGTCTCTCTCGGTCTCTCTTTCATACACAGACAGGATCTCCATGGAGAACCTCCCTTTCACAGCCCCGAGGCCCTCTCGCTCATGTTTTCCCCACATCCTCCCCCACCCGACGTTTTCTCATCCCTCGGCAAGCACCGGCCAACCTTGTGCCTGGCAATCTGCTGCTGGATTTTGGCCGTCTGAGTCCCGATGGGCTCCGAATTGGCCAGTTTCTTTTCGGTCACTGACAGCCAGTCCGCGATGGGCTCCGACGTCTCATGGAACTGTTTGGCCAAGACCAGGATCTCCTCCAGCTGATTTTGCCTGAGGAAAGACAACCGATATTCATTCAGATATTTTGGAAGGTCGCGGCGGTGAGCCAGACGATGAGGCGTTCTTGCAGAAGTTAAGTGATCGAGAGTTATGTTTACCGTGGAAATCTCTGCTATTATACAAAAAAAAACCCCAAGAAAACTCAGAAGCTTTCAGCCCCAATCAATCCAGCCGGCCCTGTTCTAAGCTGGGAATGAAGAAATGAAAACCATATATGGGCACACGAAGTGATCTTGAACCGAGAGACAGACCACACAAATATTGGTCTGTTTCGCCTCTTCCCAAACAAAGGACATTTCCAGCCCAAGCTACCCAAAATCCTTTAGCTAGAGACCCCGAGGAGCAGGCTGCTAAACTCACAGAGATAAGCACAAACCCTCGGATGGGGGTGTCAGGAGCAGGAAACTGGCCAAGGAAGGGGTCCGACGGTCGGAAGCAAAGGGCCAGGACTAAGAGGGTGGGGCAAAGGTGTCACGTGAACCATTTCTTGGATGCTACTGATCTTTCAAACTTAGGAGCTGCAAAGAAGCCTGTTCACCGACCACCTTGCTCTAAGGAAAGAAAGGGGAAACCGGGACCTCTCTGCCCGCCCCCACCAAGCCGTCCCCCGCAGACAGAGCGGGACCCCCTGTTCCAAAGCCATCGTGAGTTTTTTGTGCTCCATCCTCACTTCAGGCCGGGGAGGGGGCGCGCAATAAAAACACAAAGAGCCGGGCTCTGCTTCTCTGCCCTTCCCGCACGCTGGCATACACCCCCCCATCCGTATTAACCATGCAAAGGACCCTCCGGTGGATTTCCCTCTGCTGGCATATTCTGGGGCTGCGGCCAGGCCAGGGAAATATTGTCGAGGCACACAAAGGAGCCCCACAGTTCCTGCTTGGGACCGTCTGTGACTCAGAAGAGATTCGAAAGCATTTCATGGCTGGGAGACTCTTCTGCAGGCAACCTCTTGGCGCGCTGCCACCATTTAAAAATAAATAATTTTTGGTCCCACCCATTGCACTCCAGTGTTGAGATTCCAGCCGTTGGGGGAAGAGCAGCGAGACGCAGGAGATCGGGGCGAGCGTAGGCTTCAGAGAAAACGCTTTACAGCTGTTCTGGAAAAGTCCCCCTGCGCGTTACAGGGGCTGCCAAGGTTCATAAAAGAGCTCCTTTCTGAGGCTTTAGGGAGCAAAAGAATGTGGCGGTTGTTCCAGGAGAGGGCTGAGCACTGAACAAAGGCTGGCTCCCCACCACCACCACCACCTCCGCCACCTTCCAGGGCCACAGGATGGCAGCCAAGCTTGGCCAGTCCGCTCTCTAGGCCTACCTGGCCGCCGCTTTCCCCAAAAGGCTTGCCCAGTGGCTTCCGAGACTGTCTAGCTGGGCAATGATCTTCTCCCTGTCCGCTGGTTCGGCTGACTGCGCGATCCTCCCACCTTCCGCCTGAATCATCTCTACGGTAGCTTTCCGGTCATCCAGGAGTCGCTGGAGCAGCTACGTTTGAAAAATTTTAGGAAGCAAAGAACTGAGGGTTATCCCATTCAATAAATAAGGAATTCCCCTTCTTCCTCCCAAATCCCAGGATCTGAGAAAGGAACTCTCCCTTTGCTAAGGCCCCCCATTTCCCTCCCACCAGAGTGAGAATGCCACCCATCCTCTCTTATGTCTGGTTCAGCCTTTCATTCACCGTCGCCCCCATCACCCCCAAACTGAAGTTCCCTGACCTCCCCTGGGGGAGTCACCGCCTTCCAACACCTGTGGCTTCGAGTCATTCCACGTGGGGGGGGCACCACGCTGAAAGTCAGGGGCAGGCCCTTCCTCACCCCCACTGTACACCCCATGGTCCCCTCGCTCCCCACCCTCTGCTTGGGCACAGCTTTGCAACCCTTGACCGCCATCCTTTCTTCCACCCTGACCAAGGGGCAGGCAGAAGACGGGACCAGCCCTGGGCAGAAGGAAAGCCAGCAACACCCTCTCTTCTGCCTGGGCAGCATGCGGTGCTGCCGATGGAGCTCAGCACCTGGGGCAAAGCAAGGCCACGAGGAAGGCTGCCAACTCTTCCTCCTCCTCCCAGGGACGCCTGGCTCCCTCTCTTCCCTTGGCCTTTGGCTCACCTTTTGCTCTTGGATCTGTGCCTTCACCACCTTATATTCAGCAGACGGCGGCTTCTGATTGGAGATGAGGTCCTCCGTGTCGGCCAACCAGCTGAGCAGGGGCTCCAAGGCGTCCTGGAATTTCCCACAATGCAGCAGGGCTTCTTGCAGCTGTGCAATTCTCTGGGCCACCTGCCATTCCCGCCCCCCCCAAAAAAGCACACACAGAAAGACACAGAGGTTATGAAAGCAGCCCAGGTCAGAACAAAACAACACCTCCACAGGTGGGTCTTCTCACAATCCCCCTCCGAGGTAGGCCACCCTGAGCTACATTCTGCAGAGGTGAAACAAAAGCACCACACAGAGGGAGAGGACCTGGGAGACCGGGAACCGAGTCTATCCACTTCGCGTCGAGGTAGACCAGGCCTCTAGGAGACCGGTGGCCAGGTCTACGTTTGCCACACCAAAGGTCAACTGGACCTCCAGAAGCCCCTTGGCCCTGGTTGGGCTGGCCGTCCATTTTTCTTGGGACGCACAGTTAGTGCCAAGCAGGGTGCTCTGTAGAAGAGAACACCGCGTTCGAGGAGACCCTGTGGAAGGGGCTGGATCCGTCTTGCACTCCGAGTGCTGCATCCCATGCCATCAGAAGATACCCGGGAAGCCCTTCCTCCCGGTCTGGCACACCCACAAGGAACTGGCCAGCCATCCTCCGTCAGCCAGCGACAGGACCTCACCTTTTTGTTGAGGGAATTCCAGCGGGCGTTGATCTCTTCCATGTCATGTTCCAAACCCTGCACATCGCAATTCTTTCCTGCGCTCTGGATGAGTCCCTGGCCAAGCCCATTGACCTGCTGGAGTTTCAGCTGAAGGGGGTCCACCTGCTCCTTCTGGAACAGCTGAAGAAAGGCAGGAGGCAAGAGGAGAGGATATGAATGGGCCACCCTCGCCCACGTCTCTACTCAGCATTTTGTTGCTCGTTTACACTCGTTCCCTTGCACACAAGGTTTTTTTTGCACGCACACACACACACACACACACACGTTTCATCTTCCTTTATGATCAGGCAGGATGGCAGAACAGATTCTGGCTGTCCTGGTGCTGTGTCAACCAATGATGGCTGAGTTGTTTGCATCTCGGCTTCCTTGGTGTAAATCTTCGCCATTACACTGGGCTGGTAAAAAGGAGCTTAGCTTGTCAAGAAGGTCATCAAGGGTCTGTCTCTGGCTCACCCGCTGAGCCCTTCTGTTTATGGATGCCAACCTCTCAGCAATGGACATCCATGGAGGATGCAACGTAAGAGGAACTGAGGAGTTTTATTCATTTATTTAAAGTATTTTCACCCCACATTTCTCCTTACATCCTGAAAAGACAACATTTAAAACCTAAAACCAGCAAGTATACAAACATTTAAAAAGAAGCAAACAGACACCACACTAAAAAATGGTACACAAAACCAGCACCAGAAACAGATCCAAAGCAACAAGGTGCAACGCTCTGCTGTTGTTTTGTTTTTAAACTCTCTCAGACACCCAGTCACTAAAGGGAAAGTCTGTCTGAAGAGAAAGGTCTTTCTTTAGTGGAGTTTGCCATCAGGCAAGGCCTAAAAAAACTCTGGTAAAGAGGAAAACGGGAGTTTTGTTTCTCACGTGGAGAAAAAGTTCAAGAGATCCAAACAAGGATGGCTGAGAACTTCTGAGCTACACGGGACAGTTGTGTCCTTTTGTCCTTTTACATAAACCCAAAGCCCAAGTGAGATTAATGCTTCGGCTGCTTCTCCGAGAACTTCCCACGGACTTCCTGGGGAAAAGGAGGGGGGCGGGGGGGGCAGGGGGGGACCAGCCATTTTAAGGACTTCTGGGAGGAAAAGGAAAGGACCAGATCTTAAAGCGAGGGAAGGGGCAACGAGCACGCACGAAGGCAGCCCACCCCCTACATGGTCTTGCATCCCCTTGGAACAGCCCCCTCCTAAGGCCAAATAAAGCCCCAGCAAATGTTTCCAGCTGCTACGGTTCTTCCTTCTCCAGAGTAAAACGGCAGCTACAGCTAATTAGCTGGGACAATTTTACTCTACAGTTTTAGAAAAGGAACGTGCAGTTCTATCTTGGGGGCTGTTTGGCAAACACGGAGACAGGTGTAGAAGCCAAGAGGTGAAGATATACTAAGGAGCGCCGGAGGGCTGAGCAGCCGGATCCCACAGTTTCCAGTATTATGCAATTCGTATGCAGAAGGGGCTTCCGTGTTGGGACTTGCAGGAGCGCACGGGCGGAGGTGACGCAACGCCTCTCTGCCTATGGGAAACTCTCTCCCACCGTCTCTCAGGTTCCCAAACCAATGGGCCCCTGTCTCCCTAAGGCAGTTTCCCCTGACCTGGTGCCCTCAAGATGGAACGGCTAGGGACGATGGGGAGTGTAGTTCTACATATCTGAAGGCCATCAGGTGCGGGAAGCATGGGGGGGCGGGGAGAGGCTTTCAGCCAGCCCACGGTGGCCACTTCAGGCATGACTGTAGCAATTAACCTTTTTTATTTTGAAATGTTGGCAGCTCAATGGGAAAAGATGCATTACTTTTCCCCCCCTTTCAGACCTCAACTTATTTTAGTGCATTTGCAATATAAAGTGTTTCATTCATAACTTAAGCTTATGAATTTGGCGTTTTTGGCACGCGAAATGTAAAAACACTGGCGATTCGATGTTGCAAAAGCAACTCAGCCTGGGGGGTGGAAGAGAAACACAAGACAGGGCTCCCGAGGGGCAACCCCCACCCCCACCCCACCCCAACGCCTAGGTGAGCTTACGGAAGGGCAAGGCAGCCCCGGGGGAGTCATCTCAGGCTGGCCCCGTCACCCGTCCTGAGATGGAAGGAAACATCCAGGCTCACTCATTGGGAAAGGTCAATGTCTCCCAAGCCTCTCACCCACCCACCCATTCCGTCTCCTTCAAGGCCACCTGAACTACCCCACCCTTTATCAGCCAGATCCCCACGGCGCATCACTCTAGGTGGGGGCCCACAACTCTGAGAGATGGAGAAACTGTACTAAGAAAAAAAAGGCCCGAAGGAAGACTGAAAACGGGATGGACGGAAGGCAGGCACCTTTCAATGTGGGAGTGGCGGCATGATTTATCTATGATGATTAATTGGCCACTTAATTGTGGAGAACAAACACAAGCTACTTTTAGGTCTCGATCCCCAGATTACACTTAACTGGTGCAAAATTTCTTGCAGCTCCATGCAAGATACAGTACTTTAAGATTGAACGGACAATGATTTTATGCCATAACTTTCCTTTAACTCTCTCCCCCCCCCCTCCGTGTGAGCATTGAGACCGCCTTACAAAGGTAACCTCTGCTATGTTTAATGTCCTTTGCTGGTCATGGACCATCATGATAATAAGCTAAACACTGAAAGAAATATACCACCAACAGACACATGACGTCCTTTCGTGCTTAAGCACAACAGGCAGCAAAACAGTTGGGCAGGCTCCATGCTCCTGGAAAAGGTTGGCCGAAGCGGCTGCCACGGAAGCGCTGCCCACCAGCTGTGGTTCCTGACAGAGAAGCATCTGTCCTGCACTGCAGGGTTGGGCAGAGTCAAGCGAAAGCTCTCTAAAACGCTAATGAACCGTAAACGGGGTGGGGGGAGTGGTAGGTAAAATGTCATTGTTTGCCCTGGGTTGGTAAACAAGGAGGCGGCAAGCTAAGATGACAAATGAGAGATTAAGGAGGAGGAGGAGGATGCACTGCCTTTTCCTCTCTGGGAAAAGAGCGTGGGACGGATTCCCTCAGCCTACGTCCTGTTTCTGGCCCTGCCTCTTTCCTCCTGAGGTCCCTTCTGCCTCATTTTCACCTCGGATGCAAACCTCTCGTGGCATCCATCGAGGTTCTCCAAACAAGGATAAACGGTAGCAAGAAATGCAAGGAGGAATGCAGCGGGGCAAGAGCCTAAAACGGGAGGACGGCAGGCGAGGCTCTGAAATCTCATCTCTTCTGCCAGCCTTCATCACGCTGAATCCTGAGAGGCTTCCCTGCTTGCAGTCCCCCAAAGGAGATCATCCTCACCCAACTTATGGGCAGAGTGGTTCATCAGCTTCCCAGCCTCTCCCCCCTTTCTTGCACCGCCTTATGGAACTTCCTGTTAACATTCACACAGGGCTGACTGATCTTGCTTTTGCGTCTCCCTTTCAGGAGCAGAGGGGGGCGGAGGGGGGTTGGGGATCAGGATGGGAGTTTGTAAGCCTTTTCCTTCTAGAACTTGACATGGCACCTCGCCCAGACAGACTTCTGGCCTGGTTCAGCCACTGAGCTTCTGATCGAGAGAGAGACCGGCCCTACAACGAGAGTCGGATCTCTTCTGCTAGGGAGACTTGCAATAAACATTTAACACACCAATATATGCTACCCCCTGGCACCCTGTTCTCATCCTCTGCTTGCAGGGAGTGAACCATCTCTGGAAGATCTGCCAGGTGAGTTTCCAGAAGATCAAGGGAGAAAAATGCATGAATTCAGTGCAATGAATCATATTTCTATTTGTGCAATTCTTAGTAGTTACGAATTCACATCCCAAGCCTCCCACCTCGATTTTTCTCATCAAGGATGGCAGGCAGTGGATCCATGGCTTGTTAATTCTTATTTATTTAAAGTTGGTTTTTTTTAAAAAATACCTTGCCTTTCTCCTTAAAAAAAAAAAGGAACCAAGCCAGCTTCCGCCATTAAAAACACAGTATTAAAAACTGAAAACAGAAAATTATTCAAACGGTACATGTTGGACAAGAATTAGAAAGCATCCTAGCCAGGATTAAAAGCACAAAGCAACACGTCAGAAGAATATATGACGTCTCTCCCCAGTGCCTTGCGCTTCACATCTCCTTTTCCCCCAGGAGGCGGCTTAATAAAGGACAAGTAAGGAAGACATGGTGAGGTGGCAACGGCGGAAACACTGTCTATCCGGAAGAGAGGCCCGAGTGAGCAGTCCTGGTCTTTTGGCCAACCATATCACACAGTATGGTTGTGAAAAAATAGAAATGTCTGCGGAAGCAAGGGAAAACGGCAATAGGATCCTAAATTTTGGGTCATGCTTAATAAAGCCCTGAAACTCAGAAAGAAAGGAAGGTCAAGAGCCGTGGTGGTGATGGAAGGCATGACATCCTGTATTTGTGGAAAGAGGCCACTCGCAATGAGCATGAAATTATTTTTAAAAGATAAGAAGTCCAGCCCCCTCTTGCTTAAGAGTTCCTGAATGCCTGCAGGGAGACCCAGGGAGGGGAGGGGAGGTGCAAATTAAGTTAATGGTAAGTGAGCGATATCAAATGACAAATCGCCGTAATCACAAACGTCCTTGCGCAACTATTTTTAAACTTTAGAGCCAAACACAAATTTGACAATGATTTCCAAGCCAACACATGTTTGAGCTTCCCCTGGTGATAAAAAAACAACTCCAGGGTCTGTATGCTTTCTCTCCGAAGGGATACAAGGCAGCAAAAATCTGTCTTGGTGGTGGTGGGGAAGATGCTGGGGGGGGGCGGGCGTTGCCAGTGGAGGAGAGATGTACGCCTCCCTCGTAACTTTCAGCAACTCATGTCCACCAATGGGGACCCTGGCAGGACACGAAGCAACGATGCTCTCCAGAGCCACAATGCTGATTCGTGCTAGAAAGAGGGACGGCAATGGGACAGGAAGCAACTCCCCAGCCTCTTCCGTTGGAACTGCTTGCTTGACATTATATGTAATCTTTGTGTATGTGTGTGCACACACACACACACACCTTCTATAACTGCAGCTCCAGATTGATAAGCCAGGCATGTGAGCCACCCCCTCCCTTTGCAGGCACAGGCACACATGTGCACACACACACACAGACTGCCTCCTCTTCCTACAGGCTCTGGCTGCAACTTGAAAATTCA